GCACACCCGCCTCCGCCCCCGCCCAATCGCTCTCCGCCCTCCGTCCCCCGGGCCGGAGCCCACGGCCCGCCTCCCGGCGCCCCTCCGCCCCTCGGCCACGTCCGCTACAGCTACGTCAGCACGTTCGTGCGCTACGAGAAGACGTACGTCCCCCAGCGCGCCCACAACACAGGCAAGAAAATGGTCTCCAACGCGCAGCTGGCGGAAGACTGCATGATAGAAATGGGGAAAGGCGGTAGCTTCTATTACAGCACTCACAACATCGCGCAAATGGTGAAGCAGTGGCCGCACACGTGGCAACCGCCCATGCGAAAGCCATGGAGAGTGGAAAAGTATCCTCCGAGGTTGTTCCAGGGAAGCGAATGGGACGAAGCTTCCCGTGATATTTGGGACAAATATTCGCGCAATAAACAGAAGCAAACTTCATACGAGAAAAAAGTAAACATCTGCCGAATGCTTTCTAGCGTGTTGGAGCCTGTGCACCCAGGGTACATGTTCCTTGTGACTGGGTCGACGCTGAATGGGTTTGGGACTGAAAGGAGCGACCTGGATATCTGCTTACTGGTCGACGACAGCAACGCTACGTCCCGAGACGAGGCACTTGCGCATCTCAAAAGAATCAAACAAACGCTCGAAAATGATCCTTCCATGACGAAGCGTGCGGAATTGATCTTGGCAAAAGTGCCGATTCTCAAGTTCCGTGACGCTCGATGGGATGTTGAAGTGGATATCAACTGCAACAGCAATGTAGCAATCCGCAACACCCATTTGCTGTATTGTTACTCCATTTGTGATTGGCGGGTGCGGCCGCTCGTTACCATTGTCAAACTTTGGGCAGCAAGACATCGCATCAATGACGCAAAGAACATGACTATCTCCAGTTATTCTTTGGTATTGATGGTCATCCATTTCTTGCAGTGTGGCGTGTCGCCGCCTGTGCTTCCGTGTCTGGGCGAGCTGTATCCAGACATGTTTTCGTGGCAGCGCCATGTACTCGAGATAGACGTCCATCAACCGCCGCCAGAATATTTTCAGTCAATGAACAACCAGCCATTGGGAAAATTGCTCTTAGATTTTTTTCAGTATTACCTTCAATTTGATTACTCCCGTTTTGCATTATCAGTACGACTAGGTACTAAAATTCCTATAGAAGAATGTCAGTTAGCTCAAGAGGTAAATAATGGGGTAAGGCAGAAGCCATTGTTATGCATTGAAGAGCCATTTGAGCGAACAAATACTGCATATGCAGTTCATAATCATGAAGTTTTTGGTAGAATTACTGCGGTGTTCCGCAATTCATATTCAGAGCTTAAGAAGACAAAACATCTGTCTAGCATTTTCAAGCGAGTCCCTCAATTAACGTATTAGCAGATACCAGGAAAATGAAATTTGTACTTTTTGAACACCTTGGATGCTTGCTTTTATTTTGTCAATTGTTTCAAAGTTAAGTTTTTATTCTTTGTATTATTTTCTGTTGTATGCATAACAATTAAAATTGTCTGCAGACGATGTCTTCAGTTTTATTTTCAGTGTAACGGTGTTGTAATCCATTTTCCTTTGCTGCCTTTCCACAGTATAAACGCAAGAGTTGCTTATTCAATTACATGGTGCTCTGTAATGGCGTTGGTGACCTAATTACCATGGCTATCAATGGTGTAGTATAGTGCATTGTATTGGTTTGAGTAGTGTTAAGTTTAATGTGTATGAGTAAGTTTCAAATTACGAAACTGTTGCTTTCCGAGATGCAATGCACGTATTTTTCAGCTGAAGAAAGAAAAATGAGCCATTGGGGTAAATGGTTAAGTTAGCATAGTAAAGTTTTAAGTGGAATTAAAATTCAATGTTTTACAAGAACACCAGTTATGATACAGATTAATATACTAAAGATAAAAACAAAATTCTAAGTAAAATTGTTCTTGCAGGCTAGATATGCATTTTGAAAAGGAGGTATTATGAACTATTTTCTTAATTTTCGTAAAAAAATGTTAATTTTTGCGAACTTAAATAATTCGCATAGGACATGTAAATTGATATTCCGTGGATGAGTAAATAGTATATTTGACATTAACTTGATAGTAAAATAGAAATCTCTACTTGGTCACCGCAGATTTTCAAAACTAATCGAGCAGCTGAAAAATTGTGCAAAAAATATTAGGTGCGATTTACATTATGCTTGATCATGTACTTATTTTACTAAATATAAATTACAGGAGCTTGTATTAAAAAAGGGAGGCATACGCTCATACATATGAACTTCGTATTTGTGGCAAAAGCTTTGTTGGTAATAGACCAATACTTTAGTTCTTTCTTTAAAAGAAAAGCTTTTTGCTTGTAACAATGTAGTTACTTCTCTTCAGTTTTCTAATTAGCATATTATTTTAACATTTTTCCCCCTTGAACAATAGGTCAAGTTTAAATATTTCATAATTTGTTTACAGATATATGTGGACCAACAGATCAAAAAGCATATCTTCAAAGGTCATAATTTCGTATTAAGATAATTCGTACGATTTTTGTGAGGCACGTTTTGTAAGTACATTTAAAAAAATATTTATTGGCCATATTTTTGCCATTTAAATGTTTATACGAGTTATCAACGTTATAAAAAATATGGATATCCTTTTCGTAGAATTCGACCTATCTTGAATTATTTACTTTTCAACTTAGTCCGTAGGAAATTTATTAAACTTTCACTTCAGAGGCATAATTTTAAACAAAAGTCACTGAAATATCAATAAGTTGGAAAGAGTGATTGCCTGTTTGCGTGAATTGACATGAAGGCGTCAATGATAACAGGTTGCCAACCAGATGACGCGATTCGTTATTAAAGTTTTTACTGGTTTCCTTGGATTATCTCACCTATTTGCGCACTTACATAACACTCAATGCACTGTCATCGTGTACCACACGTTTTATTGTTAAGTGCCAAGTGGATGACCGTATTTCAGAATTTTCGATTTTCTTGAACATTTTAAGCTCGCCCCACGAAGCATCCACATTGTCGCGACCGTAATTCCGCACCCGAAATTTCACTCGATATTCACACAAACTTTAAAAAGAAGCATAATATTTTTTAATCGTCGAAAAAAAACCAAAGTCATGTCAAATCAAAGAAAATTAAATTCATTTAATAAGCGAGGATATACGTCATTAAATGTTAAATCATGTGACATGAGCACTTCAAAACGCATTGTGTGTTTTGGAGTATATACAATTTGATCTGTTGCTCCTCATATGACGTTTTGAACAAGCGTAAAGAAATTAAACAAACTCTAACATTAACGTCGTAAGATCCTCTAAAAATAGGCTTACAGGGTAATCGTGAAGAGAGATGGTGCATACTGGGTCTTTCTAGTGTTGTGTTATGTTCCACAACCGTGTCTGCAGAGGTACACAGGTATAAATATTATCGGTGGAAATATGTCTAGCATAATTGTCTACAAAAGTTTCTCATAACACAGGATCAGAGCTATTCGGAAAAAATCGATAAACCTCATTCCACTTTTATCTATGGTAGACGGTTTCTTGGCACCTGTAGCAGGAGAAGAAACAAGTGGCAGGTACATTGGAGTCCAGCTGCAACCTTCCTCAGCATATACTTTCAAGAATACATAAAAACAATAAAGAGTGAACGGCTACTTAATAACTTAATCTAGCTTTACATAAAATAAGAATATCACTATAGATATCTCTTTCCGCGACGTAATTTATTCTTCATGAGAAAGGGAAAGAAAGAAATATTATAAGCAAAAGTTAATGTTAAACGAATACTGAAAAGTTTATAAACGTATCTCTAGAAATTTAATATCGTATATTATTTTATTACGAAATTTATAAATGCTCATTTCCTGTCATAGTATGGAAAACGTATTACGGATTAATTTTGAAAAATGTTAATTGATATTTTGAATAAAAAGGCAATTCTATTATGTTAAATTGTTGGAATACCGAGAACTGGAATGAATTTGAAATAAAAAGAACTTAGAACTGAAGACTGGCAACTCAAAACGCTGTCTTCATCAAAAGGAGTAGCAGGTGAATGTTTTTCCTCCAAAAGATTCCTTTCTTTCTTGAGGTATTCTGTTCAATATTTGTATCTAGCGAAATAAACTAATTTAAGAGTCCTACCTTTTTCCATAAATATATATCACGGTAGTAAAAATACAATTTTACCCATAATAACGTATTATATCTTACAAGATCTTTAATACAAGCATTAAACACGAAGTAACTGGAAGCATACACCCTGCATCCCAGCGTTTGTACCCCGAAGGAGACAATGAATCAATTTCTTGCTATCAAACTGTCGACCAAGTTTTCGTCTTAACTCTGATTCTGCTGCCACTCTCCTGTGTTTGGAGACAGCTTCGTTAAAGCTTCTCTCTAACTCACTTTGCATTTACAAGGGTTTCCTTCATTTCCTTTCATCAGAGAAGCACACGATCTTCTGAGGTTCATCTCAGAGGTACAAAGTGAAGTAAAATATAAAGAAGAAAAAGCTGCTCGTTAACGTATGCGAAGAAAATATTTTAAATTTATGTTAATATGCATCTATGATTATTTTTACATGCAGTACCATCCACCATGCAGTGATATACAGATTTTAGGATGTGAGTGATTTCAAATTAGCATGTTTACCTTTCTTATTGGTTATATGAAATAATGCAATGTTCAATTTACATTTGAACATTCATTTACTCTAAAGAATAGCTTAGGTAATATTTTGAAAATATTTTGATAGTTAAAACTTGAAGACTACTTTCAAAAGTGCCTATTTTCAAGAATCTTGATATCACTCGTCAACGTTTCACTTATCTGAACAAAACTGAATTCTATTTTCTTTTCATTTCATAGTAATCCAAAGGAGAATGATTAGGGTAGTATTAAAATATTTTAAATGGGGAGGAATGCCATATTTGAAGAAATAGGGAAGGAAGAAAATGTTCTACAGTTATCTTATTTAACATCTCACCAAAATTGTCTCTACATGAATGTTCTTCCTTTTTATCTCAGGGTTGATATCTTGGTCTTTGAATATATTGGACTGTAACGTATTAATTTATTGTAACCATTCTTAATGGCCAAGACAAATTAATTTTAATTTTAGATGATCTTTGTTCTCCGAGAAACAAATGTATTTTTTATCAAGATATAAAAATAGTTTCAATCAAGAAAAATAATTATTAAAGGAAATGTGATTGTAATAAAGCAAACGATTACGAAGTGTTTCTAGTTAGAAGGGTGTATATAATTTTTATTAATATCCTCTGCATTTTTTAAATATATAAACAAAGTAAAGATAAAAGAGATAAAGATCAAAAATGGAAATTCGAAGATTGGAATAACCAGCGGCAATGAGAAGCCAGCATGAAGGAAAAAAAACTAAGAAATGCTGAGGAAAAGATGGATTAATGATGTTGTGATGTAAATGGAGGAAAATGATATTCATGAAAAAGGAGAACTACTTGTAACTCTCTGTGGAAGTAGAAGAAACGAGAAAAAAAGGTAACAACAAACACAATATATTTGATCTATGTAAATTACAAAAGTTCTCTATAAATCAAATATGAGTTGTAAGTGGTTCAAAAGAGCGTCAAGAGAATCAGAATTGTCAGATACAAGTACGTTAAAGACGTGATAATGATTGTAGCAACATATAGAAAACAAGGGATGACATAGGTGTGAATAAGTGAAGAATTGAAAGGTTTTGGTTCATGTTGATACCAATTTTAATTTCATTTTAACATATGCATCATCAAAAAGCACTAAACACCGTACGTGACGTATTGGGAGAAGTGTAAAAAGCGCAAAGGATAAATAAACGAAAGATGATGCTGAAAGGAATGCAAAGAACAAATTAATATTTGAAAAAATGACGGAAAGAAAGAACTAAATTGACGAGTACTATGAAATCTAGGGAGGATTAAACTGAATAATGTTATGTGAACCTAATAGGATTCGAAGAATGAAAAAGTTATTGAGAAATTCATACAAATAAGAGTATACTATAATGTTTAGAAATATCGTGTGGAACTGATGATACCGATAAAGAAATTCCCAAAGTAAGAAGAGAGAGACTATTGTAAATTTAAGATTTATTTTTCGATTTATCAATGCAACATTGCGGAGCTCAGCGGTCTGGTAGTAACCCAGAAAACTGTGTATACTCATAACAGACCCTTTAAGTGACAAAGATACTTCAACAAAAAAAATAATCTAGTATCTAAAGAATGAAAACTGGTACTCTTACATATTTTGTTTATTAGAAAGAGTCAGTACGAACGGAGCGGAACACTAGCGTTAACAGTACAATTGGCCTAACACTGAGGGGGAGACTAATATCATATGGACGATATTCAAGAACTAAC